TGTAGACACTGAACTTTTCTCATAGAGATTCATTGATTCAATTCATGATCTCTATGAGGAGATGCTGATTGGCCAGGGCTGTGTTTGAATTGTGCTTTCTCTGCCCCTGCTCTGCCTCTTTGTCAGACTCAGCCAATCCTATGGGGACGCATTGTAATTGGATCATAGATTGGATCACTTCTGATTATGTCAGCAAGCAGTGGGCAGGTCTAAAGGAAACAGGGACAAAATAAGCAGCTGCAGACTTGAATACAAGTAGGATTTTACTATATTTAGGGAGGCATGATGGGACTAGAGTGGCTAGATGGTGGTTTTAACCCAATAGGAATACATGTCCTTTAAGAAATAAATAACACATTTTCCCTTCACACCACATAAATTTATAAAAAGGATAAAGCCACTAAGCTTAAAATTGCAGCTCCCATGGTCCCTTCCCTGTTGGTGACCTCATACAAATATTACACAATATAGAAATCATAGGATACAGCCAAGTAGTGCAACACTGTTTATAGTGAAGAGCAATGCCCTCACTTATTAAGGAACTCAAAGACTCCAAGTATCAAAGCACCTTAAGGTTGCCTTCCCTATGAGGGAGGTCAGGATCCTGTGTATGCGGTTAGCACTCCGGACAGCAATCAGGATCCAGGTCGGTAGTTATAAATGGATTTATTGACTTAAAAATAGATAAAAAGTATATAAAATATAAAAGCAATACAGTACTACGCGTTTTGTTTCATGGAAGCTACCTCAGAGACCAAATAATATGCACAGTTACAGAAATAAAAACATTCTCAGTAACATTCAGTTGTCCTACCCACTGCCTATTCCCATTTCTTTAAATAGGGTTATTCCTGATATTCTCCGGTGTGTGTTTCTGATGATTCAATCGGCACCTTCTATTTTGTATTCCTCCTTCCGGTTTGCGTTCCACCGCCAATTTTCATGCGTTCCAAATTCTCAATGTATATTTAATGTTCCTAATGTCCCAAATATTAAACAACACACGTTTGCTACTTCCTGTTCTATTGGAAACAAAATAGTTTTAAATACAGGGGGAAAAAAACAAAAAAAAACCGGGGGTCTTAATTACAATCATCCAGATTTAAATTGAACCCATTGTCCAAGGAAATACAATAGATGTAAATCTGTTATTACTTGTATACACTTGCACCTGACAAGCTTTAAAAATCCCATTAAAAATCCCCAAAAAAGTATCCTAAAATTTTCAGAAAAATAACATTATCCAAAAATCTATAAAATGATTATATCACAAAACCCATTTCCTCAGAACCAAGTTCCTTCGGATTCCTGATCTTATATCTTTAGGATAGGAATGGATATATATGTCTCCAATTCCAAATGGAAGAGATACGCATTGTCACATAAAAACATTTTCATTGTATGAAAAATTATGTAAAAATATATGTACAAAGATTAATTAATTAGATATCCCAAAAAAGTATAAGAAAATTAAAAATAAAATTTAAGAATTATATAAAAGTATATATGTCAAAATCTAATTTTAATCCCATCTATCCCTATCCCGTGTGGCAAATCCATCAATTATGCATGTGTCTCATTTATAAAAAGCAAACCAAATCAACATCTACATTTAATCCACTCGTCTCCAGTGTCTGCAATTTATGAATCCAAAAAGTCTCCCGTTGGGACAGAGATCTTAATCTGTCCCCCCCCTCTCCAATGAGGGTTGACCCTCTCACTACTTATATATGTACAATCTTTAAGATTAAATGTTTTTGCTGTTGATCGAAAAGAAGGCAAAAAACCTAGTCTGAAGCGCACCGGAACCGATTGGACATTAATCTTTTCATAATATTATTAGCATGCTCCAACATCCTAACCTTGAAATACCATTTAGTGTGTGTCCCACATATTGCTTACTGCACGGACACTGCAGAAAATAGTCTGTGTGGCAATCAATCCATGATTTGACAGGAAATTCTTCCCGTTATATTACTTCTAAATACTGTCGTTTTTTGGCAATGTCATAGTTCGACAGGCCCACAACGCCCATGTCCTCTAAAGCCTGCATCTCTTGGATCTTTACTTTGGTTTGTTGTTTGTAGGCCCTTTACATAGCTGGGAGCAAAGAGATTATTTAAATTACAGTTTTTCTTAAAAATTATTGTGGGATTTTTTGACAGAATGGTACTTAATAAGGGGTCATGTAGAAGAATAGGCCAATGTTTGACTAAACCTCTCTTAATTTTCCATTGATCTTTATTGTATTTTGTTATAAAGCTTTGTTGAAAGTTTGTACTTTGGGTAGTTTTAGGTTTATCCATTAATAATTAGTTTCTATTTTTACTTCTAGCCAATTTAATCTCCCTTTCTATGGAGTTCTTTTCATATCCTTTTAGCAGTTATTTGTTTTTAATATGATCAGCTTGCAATTCATAATCTCGAGTGTCAGAGTAGATGCGTCTCAGTTGAGTGAATTGTCTTCTAGCTATTCCCCTTAGCCGCGGTTGGCAATGGCAACTTTTACGATAAATGTGACTATTGCCATCTGTTGGCTTAACGAAACAGCAAGATCTTACATCTCTGTCTCTATTGAATAAGGTTATATCCAGGAAGTTAATTGTTTTGTCACTCCACTCCGGGGTGAATTTCAAATTAAAGGAGTTTTCATTTAGATATTGGAAACATAAGTAAAACATCTGAGGGGAGTCCCTCCAAATGATTAGAATGTCATCTATAAACCGCCGCCAGAGCACCAGATTCACCCTCCAGTCATGATCAGACAATACCCAAAGGTCCTCCTATTTCCTCATGTATATATTAGCATAACTGGGGCGAACTTGGTGCCCTGTTATCTGAAAAAGAAAAAAAAAACTTTCCATCAAAAAAGAAGTAATTGTACTCAAGTATAAATTTAAAAAAATAAAATCACTTATTCCTTGTCCCAAGCTAGTGTATTCCTCCAAAAAACAGGTGATGGCATCCAACCCTAATTTATGGCTAATCACCGTATATAGGGATGTAACATCTAGGGTGGCCCAACTGTAGTTGTCTTCCCATTCTATATTCTGTAACTCTTGAAGTATGGATTTAGTATCTTTTATATATGATCTTGCTCTCTATGGGAATTCTTATAGATATGAATCCACAAATGCCGATAGATTTGGTGTTATAGAATTTATCCCACTACTGATGGGTGCCCAGGGGGAAAAGATAAACACTTGTGTAGTTTGGGCAAAAAATGAAAAGATAGGTATAACTGGGTTATTTTGATGAAGAAAGTTAAGATTTTGTTGTGTAATTATGTTCTCATATTGTGCTTTCATTAATAGTTCTTTTAGATAACAATTAAATTCCTGGGTGGGGTCCCTTTTTAAGATTTTGTACATTTTAATATCACTTAGAATATTATTGGATTCCAGTTTATAATTCTCCTTGGATAGTATCACTATCCCACCTCCCTTATCTGCTTCTCTAAGTATTTTTATTCTTTGCTCAGATTGTTGGACTATGTGACAAGACCAATCTCGCCACATTGCATTGGAGAAGCCTGATTGCTCGCCTGCTGCCTTTGGACTATGACCCCATGTTAAAAGACATATTTTTCCCTGCAGAAAAGACTTATTTGTGCTTTTCTGCCCGGTGTTCGGTAGATTCAATCTACCGAACATCCGCACGAATGACTAGACCACCTGGGAGCTGGAGTGTGCCGGCAATTAGCCTCCCAGAAGCTGTGGTTATACTGGGTGGCCGCCATTCGTATCACAAACACAAGGTCGCGGAGATTTTAAACACGCGAACGCACAGCGGTGTTCAACGCCTAACCCATGGAACTAAAAATAGACACAGTTTGGCGCGAACACCGCTGAAGCCACCGACCTCCCTTCTTGTTCGGCGGGAGTGCCCGAACGGCTCGGTGTTCGGTAGTTTTACCCCAGATAGGAATCCCATGGAGCTCATTCGGATGAGAACTGACTTTGTAAAGACTTTGGCTCCAAGGCGATTGAACTGTATTCGTGTGGTCTGAGCGCCATTCGCTTAATAATGTGCGCTCAGACCTGAGCTATCTGGGGACATGTTAAATGAATAGTTTTATTGTAACGTGTGTCACATATTGTATTTTAACAGTAATTCATGTTTTAGTATCCCCACATGCATAATGGCGATTTGCCTTTGTCCTGGGAGATAATTGAATTACTTCTCAATTATCTCCAGGGCAGAGGGGAGGAAGCCAGGATGCATTGTGGGAATATAATGTGACTGTGTGTCCTGTTTGGCTGATTGTCTGTCTTTTGTCTCAGTCTCCCATTTGGTCCCCTAGGGGAGTGTCCACCAGGTGGGAGACCTGCATAAATACTGGGCAAGTAGCCCTCATTAAACAGACGACTGCTTGACCCTCAACACGGAGCCTTGTCTCGTCTTTGGGGGGATTTACTGAACGCTGATAGAGACTGATTGCTAGGAGTGTAAGCCGCTTGGATGCTTTTCCTATTCGTCTTCTAGCAGCAATTCGTATGGTTCCAGTTCGTGTGTTTGGAGTGCTACATTGTATGCCGTTCGGGAGTTTGGAGCATTCCCTTATTTGCGGTTCGAGAGTTTGGTGTTCTACAATAGCTGTGCCTGCATCTCTGGAAGGGGAAGATCTTCTAAACGGCGGTTTAACCCTTTAATGCTGAGGGTGCCGTTACAGACTATATTACCTTTTCTTATTTTACTCAATTCCCCATCCACTAGTTTCTCAAAAATTCCCAAGAAAGGGCCTTTGTCTTGGACCGGAAAAAAGGTGGATGTACGTTTAAATTTATAGTCTCGTGATTCTTTTAGTTTATCTTCCAGCAGATTGCTATTTGAAGTATTCTTTAAGAATTACCTTTTTACTGTTAGGGATCTGATATATTTCTTTAAATCACTAAACAGATCAAAGTGATTAGCCCCCTTTTCTAGGGCAAATTTCATACCCCTTTCTAGAATAGACATTTCTTTGCCGGATAAGGTTAGACCAGATAAATTAAACATACGCTTGTCTGTTTCAATCTTTGGTAAGATCTCCTTTCGTTCTGGTTGCTTTTTGCATTGTCCTCTACCCTCATTCTTTTTATGGGTGATTTCCTTTGGAGTGTGGTAAATCGATTTTGATGTTCCCATCCCTCCTTCGTTGGCTGGAAGTAATTTAGTAATTTGTAACCATAGTTCCCTCTTTCTAAAAAAAAAAAGTAAAAAACAACTCATGTTATCTTCCCTTCTGCTTCTATGTTCATTAGGGGAATCCTCTACAGCTTGAGTATATGATTTTTTTCTTAATGGCCCCCCCTGATGGACTAATATCCCTACCCGTGAATAGATTCCTTCTTGGTAATCTTTGCTCTTAGATGGATAGTACGATCTATTGGTTAGTGGCTTATGGAGTGAATTTCTTTGGGGTGAATTCCTTTTGTATAAGTGATTTTGTATATATTTTTGTGTTATTTTTTTCCCCCTGGATTCCCTTCTCCTCCTGTCTGTATATCTATTTAGGGGGGTTCCCTGTTCTAATATTTTATGATCTACAGAAAATTGTCCAACTCTTATTGGCTATTCTCTTCTGTAGTGAAAAAGTGTTAAACATTTTATCCACTTTGTCTCTTTTATACTTTTTACACTTAGTTCCCCAATTTTCTCATCCAGATTTTTTATTTTATTATACATTAATTTTTCTTTTTCTTTATAATCCTCTCCCCATTTTGTCAAAGGAATTAGGAATTGTTCTATTTTTTCTTTCATTTATTTAGAATATTCAATTATTAATTTCATTATTTGCATTGAACAATTGAGTAGGATCTATTTTTTTTTTAAATGTATTACTTTCCAAGCCATATGCTGGCATCTTGTCAGCTCTTGAGCCCCTTGGAATAAAACCTTCCTCTATATAATTTTGGAGAAAAGAAATTTCCTACCACTTCTTTGTCTCATTAGATAACAATGTTTATTTTTCTTTATCTGATTGGTTGATTGACACAGCAATATGTATTAGCTCCATCTAATACTGACAGAGGCTCTATAATAAGGAACTTGATTAAACATGATTATTTGCATTGCTCAATTTGATAGGTGTTTTAAAATCTTTCCAGAAAAGGCCAATATGTAATAAAAGTAAGTGTAACGGCTGCTAGTGTGGTCCAACATGCAGAAACTATGTAAACATATACATACAAAAGGAAAGGAAATAAAAGGACAGAGCGTAAACCGGACCTTAGAATGGCCGGACTAATACGCTAGAGATAGAGAATGGTCAAAGGGAAAGCCAGAAATACTCAGATACCGTTTAAACAAGCCAAGTCAGGGGAACCAGAATTCGGAATAACCAGGGAAAAGCCAAGTTCAGGATACCAGGAAGTAATATTCACAAAGATAAACGCACTCTAGCGAACCAGGAACAGGAAACCACGACAGGGCAAAGTACTGGGGTGAATTAGGGATTTAAATATCCCTCTCTAGGCTCTGATAGGTCAGAGGGTGACCTCTGACCCCAGAACGTGCGCGTGCGTTGATGTCGTGACATCACGCGCACGTTCGTATAATTTTGGGGGGTGGAGCCATGGATGGACGCGACCTCATGGTCGGCACCATCTTGGATTGATCCGAGCAGCGTGGAGGAACGGTTCCCGGCTCGCCGCTGAGCAGGTAAGCTCAGTGAGTTGGTGCGGTCGTGCCGGTCGGGCACGGACGCACATGGCGGCGAGCCGGGGGCCATGACCGTAAGACAAGCAAACAAACAAATAAGTCTAAAAAATTATGACCATATATTTACTAGTATTGCTGGTGATAAAAAATATAAACTTAAAAAAGCAGCACTCCAGTGAATCTCTTGATTTGATCTCTTGATTTCTGTCAGTGTTTCATCATTTAAACTCTTTAGAACAAACTATTTATATAACATTGAAACATAGAATGTGACGGCAGTTAAGAACCATCCAGCCCATCTAGGCTGCCCAATTTTATAAATACTTTCATTAGTCCCTGGCCTTATCTTATAGTTAGGATAGCCTTATGCCTATCCCACGCATGCTTAGACTCCTTTACTGTGTTAACCTCTACCATCTATCTATCTACACCTGGGGCTTTAGTTAATAGAAAAACTAAATGACACCCATACTAACAGAGAGGTGAGGATATATCATGTTATGTCACCTCACCTCTACTCATGAACCTTCTACTGCTGATCCTGTCTGTGTTTTTAATGAAAATATAGTCGAAAACAAAGCATCTGCTGCACAGTCAGGTATTCAATGTGACCCAGCTAGAAGAGGGGTGTGCAGCAAAGTTCTGTTCTCCATCACTCCGTCCATTAACCTGTGGGACAACCCCCTGGCACATTCCCCAAAAAAGTTTGGATGAGCAGTACACTACTGATCTTTCTTTTTTGTTGCAAAATGAAAAAGCTCACTACTGCCCTCTTCCCCCTCCACTACTGTGGCTTGCAATATCTATCTATCTATCTATCTATCTATCTATCTATCTATCCTGGATGTTTTTTTTTACTATGTGTAAACTGAATTAATCCTTGTCAACACATGAATAAAAGATTCCTTCAGATGAGAAGGGGTTACACTCACCTTGTAATTTTAATATTATATGCTCAAAATATATCCTCTTATCTTGTAATTCCTTTTAGAAAATTCAGTCCATTGTGCATTATTATCATGTTCCTTTTGAGTTCTATGCCATATTGAATTCTCTGCTAACCCAGAAGCTAGTAATGTCCACAATCTTTATAAGCCGGCTTCAATCTGGAGTTCTATTATTATTCTCATATATCAGATAATATCAAAAGGGAAGACTTCTTATTTGTTCCAAATGCGCTTGCAGTTAATGGCACAGTTAAGTAATTTTCTACCAGCCTATAATTTTACAAATGATAAAAGATTTTCTTTGACAGCTCTGCATTGCCTTCATTATGCTGTCAATGTAAGTTGTATATGAGTGCATGCAAGACTATGTCTGCGAGATAGAAAGTAAAGAACATTATTGATAAAGAATAAGATAAGGACGATGAGAACATACTTAAGATAACAATGGTGTTAACATTTGAAATTAATAAGTTACACAATTTTTTTTCTTTCTTTATACACTTTTAGACTTCATTATATCTAAGGTCTGGCTAGGCATTCACAGGGTAAATCTTGATGATCTTAAAGGGCAACATAAAAGCAGAGGCTTTAAATCTTTTGTATCCTGTCTTTAACAACCTGGCACTATTATTTCTCATACCCATTCTATTTTTCGCAAATAACCTGGATTTGTTATTTTGTTTACTCTTTCCATTAGGATGTATTCATTTAAGGGATGCTTCTAACCTTACATAAAGCATGTGTTGGCTATGGTACTTGAATCCCATTACCGTAAAGAGGAAATAGAAAGCAAGCTGTAAGCTGTGCTATTTTGATCTGTTCAATTCTAAAAATGTGAGATATACATTTCTTCACGCTCCAGATCTGTGGAGCACAACATTAAGGTAAACAAAAGATCATAGACACTTTTGTTAAGTAAAGGAATGTTGACGTATGCAACGATGTCATAATCCTTTATTGAAAGTCCAGTGCTCTTCTATATATATCCTTTGTTACAATGATAAAAAAAATATGCAAATTTGGGATTTTAAGTAATTATATAGAATTTCCATGTCAGTGACTGTGATAACTTATTTTTATTTTGAAGTAATTTTAAAGGAACAATCCAGCATTAACAATTTTGAGTTTTTAAGGGTCAATTTAAATCATTGGGGCACCTTTAAACAGGTTATCTTATTTCTTACCTTGTGGCAAGATGGCCCTTCCTAGCTAGTCCTATGCATCGCACAGATAAGTATTGGTAATCAGATATGCAATTGCCACTCAGCATCTTCTCATAGAGGAGGAGGAAAATCAAGCTACGACACAAGGCAATAAGGAAGAGCACACTCTCATTGTGTGAATGAGAGGAAGGGGTGCCACCCTTACCTTATATTAGAGAAATCATCACTTTTATAAAGTGGGAAAGAGGGGACACTTTAGGGGTTTGGATTGTTTCTTCAAGTTTTCACACAGTAATGAAGCCATCCTTAAAAAAAAAAAAAAAAGCTTTTTACTTTTTAAAAAATATTTTTGCCATTAAGGGCTGTATTTAAAATGTATTCATAAATAACTGCCTTGATACATTTATGAGTCAATCAATTGCTAAAGTATTGAACATTTATTTCACAACTAATTTCTATCTATTCAATTTGAAATCATAGCCACGTCTAAAAAGACTGAAGACGCTTAAAAAGTCCTGTGCAGACAAGAACATTTTCAAGTTACTTTGAGGACTTTGATCTAAACTTTAATCCCTTTGTAGAGATCACTTTACCCAGTATGGTAGTTGTTAAAAACAAAATCAAAGAGTGGCCATCTTCTCCCTAGAAGAAGTGATGTCTTAAATTTAAAAAAAATATGTGTTTTTTAAATTAATTTTAAATGTGGCTGAGAGGTGGCTGTTTAAAGTTCTGGTTTTACCATAATTATTGAGATATGGCTATTTCTTCATGCCTTATTAATGAGCCATCATACAAGGATGCAATCCGCCTCTCAGTGGTCTTATGTGCTCCCAACTTGCCCCATTGCAGTCTATAATGAATGCGGCAGCGAGTCTCATTTTCTTGTCTGCCAGCACCTCCCATGCCTTACCCCTCTGTCAGTCCCTGCATCGGCTTCCCGTAAGATATAGGGCTCAATAAAAAAATTTGCTTCTTGCTTTCAAATCTCTACATAATGCTACTCCCACCTATCTATCCTCCATAATACACAAGTATGTCCCGTCTAGGCCCCTACGCTCTGCCGAAGACGTCTATCCTCCGTTCATACTCTCACCCTTGATGCTCGTATTCAAGATTTCTCTAGGGCTGCACCGTTTCTGTGGAACTCACTTCCCTCCTCAGTTAGATGCTCACCCCGTCTCCACTCCTTCAAAAAATCATTAAAAACTCACTTTTTCACAAAAGCATATCAGTTTAACTGTTTATGGCTCCAGGACCCACAACCCCTCTGTTTCTGTGCATCAAACTTGTCTGGTTACAATTACATGTTTGTTAGTCCACCCATTGTACAGCGCTACGGAATTTGTTGGCGCTATATAAATATATAATATATATTTATGAAGGTTTCTCAAGGAAGGTCATTGCATGAACAGCCATTTCTAAAACAGTCATGCAGAGTCACCCTTGGGACCTCCATTAATGACTGATCCTGTGACTGCCGCAATCATTGGATAATCTTGCTATCAATGGACAATTTCACTTGAGAGACTATTCCATATGGATCCCACATGCCTTCCGATTGCTGTGGCAGTCAATCACAATTGACCTATAGTGTGATTAAGAAATGTAGCCCAGCTACACATTGAGTCAGGGATAGTTTGTTGGGATTTGATAGATATTTGCAAAGGTTTAGCCTTAAAACCCAAATTCACTCAATATTTGTTGTTTAACATCACGTATATAATAGAAATCTTGGATATATGAGGAATTTTAATAATTAATAGTAATAAATAATCCACTTTATTGTTTTTTTTTCTTTACATGTAGTTTCGGGATAATTGTGGGGAAAAATATATTTGTTTTTTAATGTGCTCACATTTTTATATTTTATTGTATGTAATATTATATAATACATTGCTATAGGTTATCAGAAGAAAGGGCTGTTAGACTTGTGCATAAATGATTAAATTCCTGTTAACCAACACCTGAATAAATCAATCCGTCTTGGATTTACCTGTGGAGTCTTATTCAATGACTAAATTCCACATGTAAATCCAAGATGGATCGATTAGTTTGGGCAGAGATTAAGTGGAATTTGACTTGCTCGTACCAAATGAAATGCTTTTTTTGCATGTGTAGATTTTAATTAATTTTTTCTACATAAACAAACCATACACAGCAATGTAATATGTTTTGAAATGCATTTATGTGTGCACATGTCTGCTATCTGTTTCTTAAAATTTATATATAATATGTATGGATATAAGTGTTAAATTATGGTGAAACTAACAAAAGTCACAAGTATTTTACATTTCAGAAAAGGCTTAGTCATGAAGGAGTTAAGTGTTGTCTGTATCTAGCAATATTGTGAGTGTTTGCATTTTATTCATGGATAGTTTCTGCACATATTATAAATCTTTCATGTTTGAATTACAGACTTTAGTAAAACGTACTCAGTTGTTGTTTCTAATGAGCCTGTGGTGACCCACATTTATTCTACAATGCACCAGCATATCAACACACCTGCCACAGTGTGAGAGTTTTTATAGCAAAAGAGGCTTGCTTTATTAAAAGAGAATTAGGATTTGGTTGTTGCTGGGATAAAGGGAAAATATGTGCCCTTTTTTTTGTGTTTTATTTTAATTTAATGAATTACATATACTCTTTAGAGCAAATAATTACTAATTAGTAAGATCATGACCCACAAGCAAAAATGAAAATCAACAAGTCAAGTAAACATAGAAATCTTAATTAGTGCATATGGAATATAACATACATAATTACATTAGGGTCACTATTATGGCTTTAAACAATAATTCATGTTTCTTAACACCTGGAAATTGTAGTGCTGGGAAAAAAAAAGTATTTTTGCTTTAATTTGTAATGTATTTATTATTTTATTATAATTTGGTTTATTTATTTATTTATTGAGATTAATGTCAGTACCAAGGGATCTGTGATGTTCTTTCTAAAACAAAATTAAACATTTAAAGGGAAACTATTGTCAAAAAGAAAATGAACATACATTTTTGCAATGCTTTATATGGACACTGTATTAAAATATGTAACAATGGAAATAAAAAAAAAGGAAAAATGAATTCACCTACAAACATATGTTGCTGAAAACTTGACAGAGGTTGTCTGCAGTTACACACATACCCTTTTACAACAGGAAGAAATCAGGAGTCTTTTTTTGTGATTTGCGAGATAAGTAGCTACTCCCTCATTTGCATCAAATGTAGGAGAAATATATATTTAACTATATTTAAAATATATATACTGGGTATTAAATTACACAGTATTTTGACATATATTTTGAATATTACAAGTTTGTCTGCGTTCAATATATTTGTGAATATATGATTACATATATGTACAGAATGCATTTAAAATTTAGAAATGTTCTGTGAACTTATTTTGAAACGTATGTTAAATGTACATCAGAAAGCATTTAGAAATATATTTCTAAACACACAGAATATATGGTTGATAAATTAAAAATACATTTCTATGCTATTCTGAAATGCACTTCCAATATATTGAATATATTAAAAGCCTATAAAAACTGCAAATTTTTTTCTGGTTCTCAAAATATATTCCAATGCATTCCAAATATAATCCAATACATTATAAAAAAAAAGTATACCCATGCAATTCCAAAACATTACTGGACATAGAAAAAAAAAATGGTAAAAGTGGGTAAGGGCTGCGCTAAAAGCTAAAATACAGTAGTCTATGACAGAAAAGGCCAGACCAAATGGTCTCAATCATTAGACAACACCAAAATAGGCCTATATAACTAATAAAAAGTCTCTATTAAAATCAACAGAAAAAAAAGGATAAAAGAGTCCTTCCAAGTGGTAAAATGTACAATAGGATAAAAATAAATAAATGAAACGTCTCACTGATATAGCTGGATAGGATATGTATACAGTCCTCAGGAGTTGATCCGTCCGAGTTGTAAAATAATCCGTCCTGTTTTTATAGAAAAAAAATACATTGCAATATGTAAAACCTTATCATTTAAAAATCCAATTCTTAGAACAAAAAAATTAAACCACATAGAATAGAAGAATAAAATGTTATTTTAAACTGTGGTAAATGACATTAGAAAATATATTTTTGTGATTCTGCTAAAATCTTGACTGATGTTTTTTTCATAAGGCCATATTTAAACTCTGCCATTTTTCTGATAATTGTGCCACTTATAATGCTTTTTAAAGTTCCAAGAAACTTCTCTAGAGTCGTAACTTTAAAAAGTAAATGGAAAATATTATACTTATTATATTTTTATTCTTATACAAAGGCTCTACAACAGGTGCAACTTAATAAATAAAGCAAACAATATTAGACATATACAATAAAAATAAAAAAAATTGTAGATCTATAAATTTGGTATAAAAATCAACATCTAGCCTAATCCTTGTTTCACTAATGCAATTTACTAACAGATTATACAAACTATTTTATTTTGGTACAACAGTGAAAATTGCCTCACAGCCTACCTGCCAGAGCTGGTGGTTTCACAGAATCGAAATCACACCGCTTATCTTCATCTGTTGGCCATTTGGAGATAGTGCCTTTAAAGTTACTTATTATTAAATGAGTGTGTCAACACAGAAGAAATATTCTAACAAATGCATATGTTGTACCACAATGATGTGCTGAAATCACCTGTGGTACAGATAAGCACACTCCTATATCAGGGTGCAACTCCATCTGCAAAAAGATAAACAGTATTTTAAAATATATTGGGTATTTAACCCCTTAATGATGAGTGATGGACGAGGTCCGTCACTCAGGGGAAACCCTTAACACGGTAAAATTAACCCCAGATCGCTGTGATCGTGGCGATCGCGGGGTTAATGGTGCTCGGGTCTGCCTCTGTATTAGAGGCAGACCGGGAGCACCCGATCTCGCTGCCCAGCACATGTGCTCACTCTGACAGCCTGTCAGAGCGAGCACATGTGCTCAGTATACTTACCTTCCGCCTCCGTGCACTTCCTGGTTCTGTGTGAAGTGCAGGGAGCCGTAACAGTGCTGATCTTGTCCCTGTTAGAAAAAAAAATAAAGTTAATTTAAAATCCCACCCCCCTTTACCCATTTTAATAAAAAATGAACCTCGTCC